ATCTTAATCGATCAAATAATTTGTTAATTGCACGTGATCTAACTAAACTAAGCAAAATTATCAATAATATGTTGAAAAAATTCTGAAATTATTATTATTATTATTATTATTATTATTATTATTATTATTATTATTATTATTATTATTATTATAATTATTATTATTTTGACAAGATTCTGAAATTAAATTAATTAAGTGCCTGAATAGCGTGATCAAAACATGTTGTTGCACAAACCCATTTCAATTGGGTCAGCTCATCAACCAATGGGGGCCCAGCTACGCTTTCGGCTACAAATAACAATTTTTATTGTCTTTTTTCATTTTTTTTTTAAAAAAGATAAGTTTATCCAAATTATACTGTGGATGAAAAATTCCTTCCTTGCAACTCAAGGGTTTTTACTTGAAGACTTTGCTTTTTGTACGAATGCTATATTCACTATTGGGTGACATTCTACCTCTCATTTTCATTTTTTCCCTTTTCTACTGGGGCAAGAATAAAGATTTTTTTTTTTTTTTTTTTTTCGGGACATAAGCTTAAACACTCAAACTAAACAACATTATTAAAAGGAGATAAACTATTATTAGCCGTGGTTGCAAGGATGTGCGCCTTGTCTACACGATCTCTCTGAACCTTGTGGATTCTACACCATGCAAATGCCGTACTAGCTCGACGAATGTTATCCGTCGTCCATCGAAAACTGACATCTGTGATTGTATCGCCCCTGAGCATCTTAACCAGAGAAACAGAATCCGTGTAAATTGTGACATCATGTAGTAAACGCATTGCCCCCCATCGTAGACCTTCACGACATGCATTCATCTCCGCATGTAAAGCCGATTGAGCCAAAACGTAAGCCGCTCCTCCCAACTCTTCTTGAATACCAAGCTCTATAGCCTCCGGGCACCACCCCATTCCCAATCTATGTGTATGCTTGTTCCATGAGCCATCTACTAGTATTGGCATTGTAAAAGGACCTTCCCTGCCTTCATTTTGTAAAATAGCTCGCAAAAATCCCGGTGGGTGATCCAAACTCTCTTCAGGAGGATGTAACCACCTTAGGTTGTTCCCTGAGACCTCCGCAAATAAACCTTGCTGCCTTAGGCCTTCTGAAATAATAGCCGGCGTCAACCCTTGATCACTGCTAGTTAATCCAAATATTCTATTATTTCATGCAACCCACAACCCCCAAAGTGTGGCTATAAAAAAAGTGGTTGATGACCATTGATTCCATCCTGGCCAAAGAATAGCCGGATATAGTACAAAATCCAATCAAAAAATGGCTGGTCTGCATTTGCTTCTGAGTGGATATGCAAAATTCCACCCCTCCATGCTTCCTTTGCAAATCTACAGAATCTGAAAAGATGTTGTAAATCTTCATCACCTAACTGACATAAATCACAACTAATATCAATATCCATACCCCGCCTTCTCAAATTACTCTTTGTTGCAATCCCGCTTGATAAACACCTTCCATTTAGGCAAGATATTCAAGGACCACAAAACCTTAAAGATGTTCGTCGAACTATTTGGCGGAAAACCTCCCTCTGATTGTTTTAGGAAAGCGTAGCCAGATTTAACCGTATAGCTGCCAGATTTGTGATAATGCCAATATAGAAAGTCCTCCGTGTCTTGATCCGGTAATTCCAAACTCGCAATTGTAGTCACATACTCCCTCTCAAAACAAGAAACTAGTCTAGCGTGATTCCACCCACTACCCAAGGGTGTCATGAAATCACTTGCTTTCCATCTCTTAGCCTGGGATAAAGTAACATGAGACTTGAATTCTACCACCTTACCTGCCATCCATCTATCTTTCCCCGCCAATATAGATTTTCCATTCCCGAATTTCCAACTACAGCCCTTGATAAGTAGGTTACCTGCTCTTGTAAGACCCCGCATACCCCACCAGTAATTTTTGTGCTGTAGAGAAACCAGACTTCCTTTGCAAAATGGAGACTGAAAACGTGCTAAGCAGGCTTTTGAAAGAAGCAATTGTGGATTATGGCTAATTCTCCATGCTTGCTTCATCAAAAGGGCTTTATTGAATGAACCTAAACTACGAATTCCAAGTCCCTCCATTCCCTTTGGAAGATGCAGTGTCTCCTTGTTCACCCAGTGCATACCCTTGTTTTCCTATTAGCCCAGAAAAACCTGGCTAGAAGAGAATCTACTTTATTCGCAATGGATGCCGGCATTTCAAAGCACATAAGAATATGGGATGCTATCGCCACTAGGACAGAGTTAATCAAAATAAGTTTTTGAGGTTGTGAAAGAAAGACCAATGATAAGAAAAAATTTAAGGAAAAAAAGGAATTTTTTTACTACTTGAAGATCAATGCTAACATAAATATTGTTATATATATTTAACCTACAAACAATCTAACATTTTCATTTAATACTTCCTCCGCTATAATAATATTGTAACAATTGACTTTCGTCTTGTAATATACTACGTATTTATTAAAAAGTAATTTCCACTCTTATATAATTACAGATATTTAGCATATAAAATGAATGTGCAATTTCATTCTTATTGCAATATTGCTAGAACGGATATACTACCTCCGTTAATTTTTAGTTGCATCAAAGGAATATTTTATATCTCATAAAAAATTCCCCTTTGTTGCAATTGAAAGTTAACGGAGGTAGTATATATTTGTAGTTAGGTTAAAAGAAGAGTAGTCTAATCAGACCGGAATCTCTCCGGATTAACCCGCCCCGAGTTGATGAGTTATATCCTCAAGAAGTAAAGGGAGAGGTAAGAAAATTCTTAATTCAAGTGCTTCTAGTGAAGCTTGATCCCACAATCAAGTGATTGAGAGGTATATAAATCTTTTCACTAGATCGGATGTGTGTTAAATTATGATGTATATTGTATATTATTGTTTTAGTTCGTTTGAAATATCAATGAACTACCCGGTATTTTTTAAAGATTTCTAAGCTTGTACATTATTAGTTTAAAAGATAGTATGGGTGGAAGAAAGGACAGAGTATACGTAAGAGTTAGCTAAGATGGACATGTGTAATTCCATTTTGATTAATAAGTACTAATTTTTGCCTTCAACTATATTTTATCATAAAAAAATAGTAAGAAAATTAATAAAGTTAATGTAAGACATTACAGATTTTTGACCACCGTTATAGTTAATCAATATTCAACAATATTTAATTTATTTTACCTCAATTTACTCATTATAAATTACATGCTCTCCATATAATAATGATCATAAAGTGATGTTAAATAATTAGAAGAAATATGATACTCGATTATAAGTACGACTGCCAATATCTCCACTTAATTAAGGATAATGTATAGATGATAGTCATGATACTCATTACTCAAACATCGTACTCCGTAAGAGATTTATTATTTGGTCTATTTCACACGAAAAGTAATCTAACATAGTTGGTGAAGCTTCATAATCGTATAGTTTGTATGAAATAAATTTCATTTAAGTTCCAAAAGTACGTGTACCTTTTTTTTTTTTTTTTTTATTTATTTATAAGATAGTGAAGGGAAGGGAAATATATACTGAACTTTTTTTTTTTTTTTTTGAATAATTGAACTTTGTATTTTGTCAACTTTATTTTGAATTGTAATTTACCACGTTCACTTATTATTTATTTTTTTTTGCTAATATTTCGTTTAATTTAGGGTGTGTTATACAAGAATTCAACTCATATTTATCATCTATATCAGAACTTTTATCCAAACTTATTGATAACCCGTAACCCTTATATGAATTTATTAGAGCTAATTATTAATATTAATTTTATCTAAACTCATTAATCTTTATTTGAACTTATTTTTATATTGAAATAAGAGAAATTAAAGTGAACCGACATGGCCTTACTAGTACTTGTTTCTTTTATTATTACTAGGGGTATCCACGCGCGCATCGGTAGTGTTTCAAGAAGAGTTATTGCAGTTAGTCTTAATACCTTATGCCTGTTTGCATGACCTTTTATATTTAAGTTATTTGTACATACGCGATTAATGTGTTAAATGTTGTGTATCTTTGCAATGTTCAAAAATTTAGCAAGCTACTTTAGAATTAGTGAAGGACTTGTAAAATGTTTGCTATATTTAAAGTACACATTGAGATGATTCAATTAACAAGACATCACATTTTCTTGTATTCCATAATAGAATTAATTTGAAGTCTCTATAATACTTAGTAGTGATATCCTTTGAAAAAAAAAATACTAAACAATGACCAAATTCCAAATAGAAAGACGAACAATAATAATTTGGAGAGAGTAAAAGAGATGCGGTTATAATGTGAAAAAAACAACTTTTTATTTACGAATTATCAATCATTTAGCCTTAAGAAAAAGAAGGGATGTGAACAAAGAAAAAAAAAAAAAAAATTATTATTCATTTTTTTTTTCTTGAATAGAAGTATTATTTAATTGTAATGTGACAATTAAATCTAAAACCTAGCAACCACTATTTTGGGATCCCATTTGTCTCAATTGTTTAGGATGAAATAGTCTATTTTCTATATTTCTTACCTTTAATTTTTAAGGATAATTTTTTCTTTTAGTTTAATTTTCTTAGTGTTTTGTCCATTGAGTTTCTTTGAAAAACATAAGATACCAAATACACCTCGCTTTAAGTTTTAATCGGTTACAGTTGTGATCATAATAATTATTGTAAATGTCATATAACTATTGTTTATTCTTCTTCTATGTAAAACAAATTTTTTAAGGAGTAAATTGAAATTATATGTTATTAATTTGTTTTGTTAAAGTTACAAAACTATTGAAGTTATTTTCTTAAATGGTTTCTTAAATGGGCAAAAAATGTAGTAGACGGGCAAAAATGACTAATTAACCAAACTATCTCAACAACCATTAACCAAAATACAAAATCTCTTAAGTAACTTACATTTTCAAGCAGTAATCGTATTCATATTCAAGTCAAATTTTGCTGAGTTTATTCGTAATTTAGAGTTATCCCTCCCCACCCCCCCCCCCCCTCAAAAAAAAAATAGAATTATCGACAAAAATAAGCTTGCATTATAACGAAAAAGTATGAAAGATAGGAAATTGTTTAATTACTTGTACAGATGTATGGTGTTATAATTACAATGATTTTAACTTTCAATTATGACCAGGGTCCATTATGTCGATAAAAACTTTAGATTAATAGATGCCAATTCGAAGAATGCTTGAGACAGTCATGACAAGCCAATACCAGTAATTGTAATGAACGGTTGAAACTGACTTCTTCTGTGTGATGCAAGCACACCTCCAATACATCAAGAAATGTGGCTTTACACTTGGACACGAGTTCTAGTTGCTGTATTTGACCAACCTTTGTCTTAGCTTCTAGTTTTTTTTTTTCCCCCTCCTTGCTAGAGCTGCTCATATGATCTTTCGGATTTCACTTTCACGAACTTTTATATGAACCAATACCCTTGTAAATTTAATATCATGAGCATGGACATCAGTTTTCAGTAATTGCAGTATACGAAACCCAATCGATTCACCAACCCACACTTGAGTTCCTTAGTTCCTTGGGCTTCATATAGAACATTCAAGTTTTTGCTACATTTACTTCAGCTACACTACTATGCATCCAAAGTAATAGTATGAAACTTATAACACTAACTATGATTCCACCACTACCTTGCTACATTCATGTCCAGCAAGTGTTAGACATCTTAGAAGAATTACGTATTGAGCCTTAAAAAATAATGATGACAAGATAATGTATGACTACCTTTAAGAAGACCACGAATACATTGAATGAAGCCATGCCTCTCCCTCTCAGATTGTTAAGCCTCTCAATCACATCTGCAAATAAAAAGATACACATACGTATATATCAGCATCATGTATTCCATATCATGTGTTAAGCCTCTCAATCACATCTGCAAACAAAAACATACACATACACATAGGTATGGGGTACCTAACAACTTAATTTTAATCTTAATATACAAGATTGTTTTCTCCGATCTTAAAATCCATTAAATAATTATATTTTGCACTTGTTAAACCTCATAAGTCATAACCATTGGGTTTGAATTTCATGAAATAACCTGTATTTTTTTAAAAACCTCATAAGTCGTAACCATTGGGTTTGAATTTCATGAAATAACTTTTTTTTTTTTTTATCGGCGAGTAAATTACCCACCACTAAGGCTGTAATAGAAGCTAGCTAATGCTAGTGAAATCCAACGGGCACAAAGCATTTTTCGACTTCTAAAGTTTGATCTTCTCTACTTTACAGAAGAACACAAGGTGATAAATTTATTACTTGTAATATCTAGCATATAATGTAGAAACGGATACAACTAAGCAAAAAATATCTAAATTCTTTTACATATGGACAGACATTCATACCAAGCAACCATGTATTATTGACTTATGATTAAAAGTAAGCCAATTGATGTTTTGCTCTAATCCTACTTAATACACATGCATGATACACCTCAACTCAAATCTCAACATGAAAGATGTACTAAACAGCAAAAACAAATGTAATTTTTTTTGTTCATAATTTTTTTGTTATACGTAGTAGTTGTTGCAATTAATAAGAACTGTATATACAAAGTATCACTTAGAAAACCAAGAGGTTGCCAACCTGGCCTTGGGCGAGACTACGTTTTCCTTTGATGCTCATTCCCTTTAGTGGACTCAAACTCTCAAAGCAACCATTAATTATTTTGACACTTCTAAGCACTCGAATTTGTTATCCTTGCCGGGAACTCCAACATAATAGCCTTATTTGCACATTCATCATTGCAATCTTGTTTTGTGCTGTGTTTACAGCCAACTCCAACACTTCAGTGATTGACAGGATATAGAGTAAAGTTAGCAAAAATTCGAAATCGGCTACAATATTAGAGCTCAATTTAGACACTAAATTAGGCCAAATTTTTAGGTTACAAAGAAAATAAAAAAATACAAGCAAAAAGTCATATTAAACAAAAAAAAAATCCAACAAGAAAGTATGAGAATAAACCTAGAATGAAATAAATGGCCAAAGTAATTAGCGAAGCAGAACAAGATAGATTAGAAATGAACACAAATTTCAACCGAAATTATTATAATAGGTGAGAAGAAAAACTTTCAATCAGGGTAGAATGAATTTCTATCAGATGCTAGCACCATTAGGATGGTTGAAAGGCAAAAGCAAAGCAGTCCAATTGATTTGATATTCAATAATAAAAAATAAAAAAAATAAATAAACAAATAGAGCAAAAAAAGAAATTGAAGTGAAAATCAGAAACTACTTCGATGGAGGAGATAAAGCACAATAGGCGCTTCAATGGAGAACTAATAGTTTGCTTCACCTACTTCGATGGAGTTGCTTCAATCGAGGAGAGAGAGAGTAGAGAGGTAGAGGAGGAAGGAGAGAAAGTGACGCTTATGAGGAAGAAAGAGGAAAAACATTAGTCAATCACATCAGGGATAACGCATAGAGAGACAAACAGTTAACATTAATGGGGGTATAATGGTAAATAAACATTTTAAGGGTTTATATGTCATGACACTATTCATAAGAGTATTCTCCCACTTTTTAAAAAGTAGGGATTCTTATTTTTTTACATAAACATGAAGCTTAAATATATAGTTATATACCATATTATAGTTAAACAAATTTGCAAAAGATCATCATAACAAAATAAATGAGTCAGTCTAGGTGGGTAAAGTGAGTCTATGCGGACTGATATAAGACGAGCTGAGTATAGTAGTGATTCACTGCCTCTCCTCTCTTCTTCTCTCCTCCTCTCTTCTAGGGTTTCTCCAAATTCTTGGCCGTTTAGACCGAAAATAGACTATTTCCGACCCTTTTCCCTTAATTTTCTTTAGTTTTGCAATTTTGCTTTCAATAAATCTACACAAGTAGTGTAGATATTCGTCCATCTCCCTATGGTAGAGTTGTTAGTTTTGTTGTTTATTGTTTGTTTAGGGTTTTTTTGTGTGTTAGGGTTTATTAAAAAGATAATCATATTTTTCCTTATTATCAATTTGTTGGTAAAGAGTTGTCCGAGATCGCAGCGGTCGTTAAATCTTCAAAGGTGTTCAAGTGAATAAGATGAAAATCATCCTTACGCCTACAATAAATTGTTAGACCGTCTCTCTGAAAAGGCTGTATATTCCAGTGATATGTGCGAGAGATGTACCACACTCCAAGATCTATTTAACGATCGTAGCTTTGATGAATGAAACCTTTATTTGATTCAATTTTATGTAATTGTTGATTTAGATTTCATTTATAGATGACGTATGACTTTTGATTAATTGATTTGCTTTTTTAAAAAAAAAAAAAAAGACTAGTATGGTTTAAAATTCATAAATTACCTACCTACTACTCATAACACATATAACTTTTGATATCAATAAATGCCCAATGTCTTTCGAAAACATATCTACAATTAATCAAATTGAGATAAAAACGGTGCAAAATCCACAAAGTTTAATCCACCTTTCATTCCTAATCCAATTTTCAAATTATTGGACAGAAAAAACCAAAGTATTGGATGTCTTGTGGAGTCGTGGGCTTTGTATTAAGAGAGTTGAATGTTATTGGAGATTAGCTACCAATTTGTCTGGATTTTAGGGGAATTATCAGCAATTACAAACTGACTCGTCATAATCATCAATTTTCACGTTGTCAATGTTTTATTGGACTAAAAGGCAATCATGTAATTTCTCCTGTCTTTTCTTGCACGAATTATATGGGCCCATTAGGCCCATTATTATTATACAAAAAGCCCACATTGTATTCTCCAGGTGAAGCATTAATACTTAATTAGTTAATTGTCATTTCTCATACGTAATTGTTATGGTTGGGAGGGGAAAAGTCAACGGAAAAAATATTCAATTGTTGTGGATGATAATTTTTACTATATTTTTTTTGAAACCGTTGTAGTGATGATAATTAGTACAAATGTACAATATCAAATGAAATTAAAGAACTTAGTAACTTCTTGTTTAAAAGGTTTGTAAATTGTAACATCTTTTTGAGGGAAGAGTGTAATATAACGAGCTCATCTGATCCATTGCCCTTTTTCTTTCTAATTTATTAAATTTTTTGAAAATTAGAAACAAAATTATGGAAAAAAAAGTACTCGTATGTGTATGTGTATGTGTTTTCTCTTGTTGTTGTTATTTTTCAAAAAAAATAGTATAACTATGATTAACTTTAAACTCATTATACAGGTTAATGATTGATTTTTTTAAAAAAAATATACTATAATATTCAAAAATTGAAATCGATATTGACAATAATATCAAACATGGCCTAAATTTTGACTTGTAGTTTATTAGAGATAATGGTACACACAACATGAGTAAAGCGACTAGTGCCATTAAAGAGTATAAGGACTTATTAGTTGGAATAGATAGTGAAAGCAAAAATTATTGATAAATGTTACGTCCAACTTTGACAATACTAGCTTGGATTTGTATGAGGTTGAGGTGGTGGAGTAATGAGATTGCTCCCCACCTCAAATACTTGTGGTCTACGGTTCAAATTTATGGGCCTAATTCAAGAGATTTCTCTTGCCTCCCCTATTTAGGTGAGTCCTCTTCATTTTACCCATTTTAATAAAAGACCTGGATTTGTATGTGTTAATTAGAGGATACGAATTCTCTAAATTAAAAAGAGAGAGACAACTTTTAACAAGGCTGTGCTTTGATCGAATAGACTATGAACATTGTTGAGTTTATAGAAATTGATAAACATTAGACAGAAGTTTAGATAGAGAAGTAGCTAGATTATGTATCAATAAGCAAAGTTATTAGTGAATTTGTTGATGGTATAATATAATGCAGACAATAATCTATTTCCTATAAGATATTATGGCTTGGGTCCAGTTTTGTAATGGGCTGATAGGTTGTAAGCATTCGAATTACGAATACTTCGTACTTATCGGCCCAATATGAGGCTATGAACATTATATTATTTTTTTATTTTTAAACCATGAGGCTATCAACATAAGTGAGATTTGAGACTCGTTAACATAACTTTGTAAAGTTTTTTTTTTTTTTTTTTTTTTTTTTTTTTTTTTTTTTTTTTTGCTCTTTAAGAGAAATTTATACTTATTAATCTGCATTTAGGCTGTAGTAGAGTATTGTAAATAGTAGTATAGTGCAAAGTAAGGGCCTGTTCATTTGTGCTTCTGGGCAGAGCAGATTTCAGTAGAGCATAACAGCTCTAAAGAGCAAGGCCTAATAGATTATTCAACAATTATCATCATAAATTTAAATAATAAAAACACCTTGCTAACAATCCGAATGAAATTGTTGTTTGAGCTTTAAGACTTAAGTTCTCTTATTTTATCTGAGGAAAATTAACGATATATGAAGTAAATTCCGAGTGTGAAATTACTTTCCTTGTATTATTTTGTAACGGTGCGTTTGTTGACTCAATGTTATATAAATAGTGTAAAAGTCAAATTGTGTCTGTTATTTAACAATAATGAAATTAATTAATTATATAATATTAAAATGTAAAAAAATAATTAAAGTTGAGTTAGAGAAGTAATCTGCATTGTAATAATTTTTTTCTTTAGGTCATAATCAGTATTTAACCATTATTTGTATTCTCTAATGAAGATAATTGTGATTGAAGCTTTTTATATTTTATTTTATTATTATTATTGTTAGGAAATAGATGAGGATCGATTGATTTAGGTTATATGTTTGATATACGCAGAACATAGAAAACAATATATAATACGTAAATTTAAGAAATAGAGTAGAAAATAATTGAGATGAACACATAGATATAGGTGGTTCGGTTAACATGACCTACATCCACAGGGTAAGGGATAATATTTTCTTATTAGCTTTCATGGAGGATAAACAAGAGATAAAACAAAGGAGATACAACACTATTCATCTCACAAAATATCTCAAGTGGAGTTACATAACGGCTTGAATTGGCTAGGCTAATTAATCAATATTTAACACTTCTAATTGTCCGCCCAACGACTCTTTATATATCATAAGAAAACCCTAAAGAAACCCTAGATTATTCCCCAAGGAATATCATTAGTAGCCGTCATAAACAAACCCGAAAATAGGAAGCAAAAACGTCTTCACTGGACTAGGCACGGGCGTGCTATTTAGGGCACGTCCGTGTCCCTTCCCCAGCTTCGATAGTTCTTTGTAAAACGGTCGTAACTTTCTCGTTGCTTATCGGAATTGGCAACATGACCTATCGTTGGAAAGCTTTTGAAACAAGCTATCACATCCAACTTGAATCACCTCAAAATCACTTCTGGATTGAGAGATACGTGCATTTGAAGTCGACCCTTCGCCATTGCACTAGATTTCAAGTCACAATTAACAATTATTTTTCTAGTAGAGCATCACTTTGATCACAAAAACCTATACTTATTCTAAACGTCACTAAAATTTTAACCTTAATTAACGACTGATTAGTAGTGAATTAGTGATAAACATTCAACTTAGATCTCATCTATGATCTATGACTTGATCCTTTTGAGTAAAAACAAACATATTTCCCACAGTATATATTGGTTGAAAAAATTCCAATGTAACATAATTTTATTCACAAGTAGTACTTATATCCTACTCCGTATAATCCTACATGAAGATTGGATCATTGGACTGTATCACATTTCACAGTGTTTTTACTGTAATTAGTCAGTGATTAGTACTCTGATTATTTTGTAATTTCCACGTGCTAAGAAGAGTGGACCACTACTAACTAGACACGTAGAAGATGTCGATTTGAGCAACGTTCCCCATGCATTCTCCACACACGTGACGTTATTCCTTTGTTTCTACAATTTTTTCAGAAATTCAATTAAATGATCGACATTTGGATCGACCCCTCACATTTAGCCTCGAAGCTAAGATTCATTTTAATAAAAATAACATTTTCGTATACTATATGCTTTTTCCTTGTCTCTCGCGATTTGTATCTTCCAATCATCTTATTAACTTCTCTTTCTTACGTAATATAAATGGACTGTTATCAAGATAATACAAGTATCTATCAATGCAAATGAAATATAATCAGTTTTAATTAATTAGGTTAATTACATATTATAAGCTAACCAAAGTATGATATGATAATTTAGGTTATTAGTTAGTTAGTTAATCACTCTCTAGGTTCATCACCCTTAGCTTACTACATGTTTAGGGACAATTACCACATGGAACAACGCATAAGAGGATTGATCATAAGAATAAATATAATATCTTTAATTTTGTGGATTAATTGCATTGTTTCTTGCTTGAGATGAGTGCATGCAATGCATATAGTACATGATCGAGGTGTGACAATGAAAAAAACGTAACATAAAGTGACAAGATCAAAATTTGTTGATTTATGTTTCAATATCATCATAAAAGTGAGACGAGGCCGCAAAGGCATATATGAATAGATATGGTAATTAAGTCAGGAACATGAGATGAAAAGCCCGATTAATCTATAACTTAATTAATCATCATAAGCCCAAAATTGAAAGTTCATTCAAATTCTATGTTCTAGGGCAAAATAATGAATTAGTAGTGAATGAAATAGCAATCGGTCATCGCTTTTTTTTTTTTTTTAGTTATTTGTCCATTTTAATTTACTCCGTAC